ACATCTCTCACATCCTCTTCTGCGGTGCCCAGAGCTGCAGACACGGCGACGGAGCCAGCTGGACCACAGCGCGGATATAGTTGGACAACTCCGATTTACTTCACAAGAAATAAAGCTCAGGATCTTTCAGCATCCTGCCTATAGTTAGGAAAGAGGCAGCTTTAGAGGGCTGGGCTGCAGAGATGTTTATTTACATCAGAGCTAAAACYGGCTTCAGTGAGAGCTTGGAGCAGGGGGAAGGCACGGGGCAGCCTCATATTCCATAACGGAGCAAACTAAAAGTTTGGATCTAAGTGGCTCCAGACTTTGGGCAAGTTCAGATCCAAGTCTGCACTCCAACTTTATACCTCATCCTCATCTCTGCTGTCTCACTGCACTTGGCACCATCTTTATGAAGAGGGCAAACCTTTTGGTTTCTGGTTCGGTAGATCTTCTGTAGGACTTGATCTGAGGAATGTTTTCAGCAACGTTTCACAGAAGCCCTGGATTTCACTCACACGAAGCTCTGCCAAGTCCTCCAAGCACCGGTGACGTTATTATTAAGGTTTCACGCGGCTCATCTGAGAGCCTCGGATCCAAATCTTAGGCTTTCCAGTTCCTTATCACCATTCCCTATTGCACGGTGCAGTTTTGTCATTCCTCTCTTCCTATTTACACAGTCTGTGCCAACCCCTTCTTCAAAAGTCTACGGCARGACCACTAACGTGGCTGTAACTCGTGTCCTCATTAAAACCCCTTCTCAGAGCCCACGGTGGGGTCCCTCGGGCACACGCAGCTCCTGGCCTGCAACAGGAGCACTTTGGGCTGGAATTGCCTAAATCCAACCCAGCTTTCATCAGGCACCTCGAGGAAGACAGCAGCTATGCAAAATCACATTCCTTTCTATTTAAGCACATTTTTTAAACTTCCAGCGTGCGCATGTTTCCTTTTAGTTCATCAAAGACTTGAATTTCTTTTTGGTGACATAATTTGTCAACACATTCAGTTTATAACAGGGGGAGAAAAGAAGAGGTTGATCAAAGAATAGCAAGTAGCTCTTATTTACGGTGTGATCGCAAACCAAATTGCTGCTATAGCTTTGTATTAGCAGCTCTACGTTTAGTGCTTTTATCAGCATTTCAGCTGCAACACAGTTTTCGACCTAGAATAGACAATTTGGTAGCAGGAGAGGCTTTCCAGCCCTCGCTGCCTGCAAAGCAAAGCTCAGTGCCAAAGCCGTGATGCAGAAAACTGTTCCTTACAGCTAGTGATCAGTCCCGACAAAAGGCTGGATTTGTATGTGATGGGAAAAGGCTGGTGATGATGCCCACAGCCCTGCAACCCCAGACTCCGTGGATGCTCACGGTGCATCCTCTTACCTATTAATAGGGATAAAAAGGCAGAATCGGCTGAAAAACATCAGAGCAAGAGGCAAATTGCAAGGGCTACTGAAATTTGGATGCAAACCTCGATTTATGATCCACTCTGTGCTGTTCAGATTTGTCGCTTCATCYGCTTAGGGCAGGATATTCCCAGGTCCTTCCCACGCCAGGGCGACCCTTGCTGCTCCCCTTGCTCGTCTCTGTCCTCTCGGGGTTCGAGCTGCTTCTYGCGGCTGTTGCAGGAAGACACTCATATCCTGTAAACACCTGCACGGCCAGGAAGTGCCTCTGCATCTCTAATCAAGAGATCTCGTCGTCGCCAGCAGCGCGCGCGGCGAGAGCCAGCCCAGCTCTGTGTACACGTGAAGAGCAGCCCAGTGCTCACTGGGTTGAATCGGTTCCTTTTTGGAGCAGGGGGAACAGGCTAGAGCAGGACGTGCTCTATAGGCACCTGATATACCTTGTATATACCAGCAAAACAGCCTTTGCTCACAGCCTCCTTTAATGCAAGGAAGTCCTGGGTATTAACAGATCGCTTTGCAGTGCTAACTTTGCCTCATTTGCTAATGTTTTTCTTTCTGGGAAGAAAATAGAGCTGTTTTACCATCATGAGACAAGACCACTTCTTTGCTTACAGCTAGACCAAAGGCAAGGGCCTTTCCTTCAAAGGCGAGCAGAAGAGTTGCCCTGTAGAGAAACCCACATCCCAATGCCCGAGCGTATGGGAAAGGGAGGGCGCTCCAGCTTGGATGTGACTTGGCTCACTGGAAACCCATCAGCTGCTGAACCATAGGGGTTTAGGACTTTGGAAATGGTAAACTTTTTCCTTTACAGATAAAGCTAATGGCTYGTCTGATGACTCAAGGGCTGCAAAGCAGGACATGGGGAGCGACACGAGCGGAGCACGTGGTGCATGAGAAACTGCAGCCTGGTGAAGCTGGAGCTGCCCAAAGCTACTGCTAGGGCTAATTTGTTAGGTATGATGGCAACAGGGCAGCCTAGAACCAAAGACTTCCAACAAAACCCACGTYTGTGCATCCTTATCTGATGTGAGGTGGCAGCGCTGAGCAGAGCCCGCGTGGTTAACGGGGAGCTTGAGGCAGGAGGCAAGGTCTGGAAGGGGAAACGCCGGCTTGAAACACAACCAGCCCGCAAAGCACCAGCACCAGGAAACTGTTAGCACCGAGAAACTGCTCCAAGAGGAGGGCGAGCCAGAGTTTTGCAATTTTCATTGTGTCTAGAATTAGGGAAAGAATCTCTTTTCGACAGAAAAAAAAAAAAAAAGTTCATATTTTGACCAGAAACAATGCGGCCTAACTATGGAGAAATGTAGTGATATCAAGTGATTATTAAGCAGAATAAAGAGTGATGTCTGTAACTGAATATGACCAGAAGTTTGCCATGCTGATAAGGAAAAAAATTCCATTGTGAGTGATACATCAGTGCTGACACACATATATAAAGTGGCAGACTTAAAACTTCCCACAGTTTTGTGTCTGTAAAGATGTGTAATCTAACAGCCCGACAGCGTAGTTCTCAGCAGGAAAATTGCTCCTGTATCATGTCAAAATATAAAGGTAACACATTACATAGAATATTTGGATCAAAAACATCCTACCCTTGGTTTGTTGGAGGAGCAACAGAARCAAATAAAAATGATCTCAAAATTTCAGTCTTCCGCTGCATTTTGCACTTTGTATTAATACTTTTCACTGCTTGTCCACTAAGTGTGAGAAATCTCTGCTTAAACTGTCCTGAGTCCTGCAAGCCTTACTGAGTTACAGGCTGTTTAAATCACGTGTTATATTGAAACCTCCATTCCAGTGCATTCAACAACAAAAATGAGACATAAGAAAGCCTGTACTGTAAATATTTGAGGAACTACAAGGTGGAAGTATAGCAAACAGCACTCTTGATAATATATTACCCTACTGTCTATGTTATTTTGGCCACAGAACTAAGTTTCATGTGGAGACAAATAAACCTGACACTTTAAATAGAAAACGGTCATATACAACCAATTGGCTAGCTTTAAAATTCAGTATCCAAACTGCCCAAATTAAACTGCCARAATTTGCCTGCTCACTTGCAGTCTGTTACAGAAATGTTAATAGGGTGGATATATCTGGAGGGTTTTGACTGGAATGTGTTTTTTGACCGAAAACTTTAATTTATCCCCATAAATTAACATTATGTTATCAGCCTTATGATAAAAGAATGTCTCATTTATAAAATGGAGTTAGGCTAGCGGGAAGGAATTACAGACAAATCACCTCTTTGGACACACCTGATGCTTTCAGCAAAGTCAACTACCTTATCTCCTCAGTGATGATCTCACCAGCAGAGACAACCTGAATTCCCCAAGGTTCACACAGAATAGGGTTCATCTCACTTAACATTTTTTGTCCAAATGTTAGTCAGCTTTTTAGGCTCCCTCCACAGCCACAGGGGAGCCGTGGACAGTTCCTGGTGYGATTCATCTCTCCTATCTGAGACACTTGAGAGGGAATAAACCATCCCATGGAGAGGCCTAGCTGGAGCCCAGACCCCCACGTGAGATGACCTCCAAATGAGTTTTTCTTAAGAACACCTTWAAAAAACGATTCCTGTGATGTCTTTCATGCAACAGATCCTCCACCTGCTTTGTAGTACATTGCAGGCCCGCTGGCTGCCGCCCTTCCCTGCAAAGGTCAATGTAATTCAGTCTTTTTTGAGCACATTGGGAATGAAAGTTACTTAAACTACTGTGAGATGCTATTATATATGTAACATAGTGTCTACATTTATTTTCATTACCTCCTYTATTGGAGATAAATGAATTGTTAAACGTGGAGATGGTGGTCTCTGAGGGTGGTCGTCTTCCTCGGYGYGCTCCTGAGGGAACAAACGTGCTTTGCTCTCCAGGAAAGCTGATTAGAAGCAAAGTGTCTGATTCCTTCTGAGGCGGGATGAAGCTGCAGCGAGTCCACGGGAAAGGACGGAGCATCAAGAGCCGCCTGCAACGAGGCCTCGTAAAGCAGTTGYAGGAAGGAGGCTCCAGGGCAAGGCTGGCTTTGCAAGGAAAGCTGTTGATTGAGCACTGAGCAGCTGCCTGCATGAAGCCAAGGTGTGGGAACGGCAGAAACCTTTGGAGAATAGGCTTAGATTGCAGGTGTCCAGGTCAGCAGCTCCACAAGGCTCAGCTGGAGGCAAACAGAACCTTTGCAGCACTGCAAACCGGAGCAAAGCCTTGGTCACCGGCGCCGTTGCTGCAATCAATCTCCGACATCCTCAGGAGGAGCCCGTGCAGGTCACGGGTACGGARAAGGACAGTTTGTCACCTGCAAGAGGCTGCTTTGGGGTTCAGCTGGTGTCTCGGTGATCAAACACAGCTGCTCCCCGGTAGGTCTGTAATGGGAAGACGTTCTCCTGCTTCCACCTGCACACGCTCGCTGACAATTAACAGTGCAAATATTTTGTCACCGAGGAGGTGATCCAAGCCCCCAGCACCAGCTCCGAAGCAGCACAGAGAAGCTTGCCGCTGTGAATGACACCCTGCACAAATCCTAATGTGTGTCCTGGGTTTTARATGCTGCACTGGATCATTAAACTTAGAGGGGTGTTTCGGGTGGGGAATATCCCATTTTAATTTTTCTCTAGTCTATTTTTAAAGGAAAGCGTAGAAGAAAGGTAAGTGCTATAAAGCAACAAAAAGTGAAATGTCATTAGTGTCAAAAGCCTTTCTGAAGTCAATATGTTTGACATCTACTGTTTTTCCTCTAGCCACATGGTCTGTTATTCTCTAGACTGAAATTAGATTAGTTTGACGTGATTCCTTCTTGACAAATCTTTATCGGCTCTTGCTCATCTTATTACTATTTTCCAGGTATGTGAGTATTTGTTCTGTCGTTTTTCTCGCTTTTGAGCTGGCTGTTGTATAATTTTCCATCTCCTTTTCCCCTCGCTTTTCCTACCTTTTAAATATAACCAATACAYCCCCCTTTTACAGTCTCCTGGTGTCACATTGGCCATTCCATGATTTCAGAAAGATACTCCTAATAGCTGGGGGATTGCAAACACTGTAGGATGAAGTCAATCCAGAAACCTTTAACTTATCGAAGTATTTTTAACTTAGCTAAGTTTTCTTCCCCAACATAGGCTGAAATATTACTTAGTTTAGTTTTCTAGCTTTCCCATCATGATTTTTTCCCCATCATGATTTTTTCCCATCATGATTTTTTCCCATCATGATTTTTTCCCATCATGATTTTTTCCTTATTTGAGCTATTCTTTTATGATCACCCTCTAAGCTTATACAGTATGTCATTTATACAGTACTTTCTTCTGACATTAATAAAGAAGTTATGATTTAGTAAATCAACAACCTTTTCTTTCTCTGCAGTTGGATAATTTTCATTTTTGCCTATTTTTCTCCCAATTAGATTATTCACTATTCCAGGAATTCAGCTATAGATCTCCTTTAYGCTTCTGAAACAATGAAAATAGCCTTAACAGAGCCTATAAACTAGCTCAGAAAGACAATTTCAGCTGGTTCTGCTTATCATGGATATGCATGCATGGGAAAGTCATAAGTCTTTTGAGTTGGAACACAAAATCAAGTGTTTAAATAAGTTAGTTAAGAGTAAAAGGTTCACTGAAGACTGCCTTTAACATCCACCAGCAGACACTCAATAGCATTGTGTCCGCCACAGTTTTTTCCCTATAAAAAGGTTTTGTTTGGATGCTTCTGTATCAGAGTTCCCAACGGCAGTTCCCCTCGCTGCACAATCTTCTCCAGGCTTTGGAGCAGCAAGTTTTAGTCGGGCTAAAGTTCAGGGGCTTTGATCTTCATTCATCTCCACTTAACTAAAAGGCAGCCACATCTGGAGAATTTATCTAATTCTGCAAGCTATAAATATGTATGTTTTTGGTACTACGCAATTAATTAAAAGACTTAAACAGAATGCATGTGCTAACCTGCAAAGAGGTTGGATTACAAACTATAGGAGCATCTCCTTATGCGTACCTCTGTGCACATCTAAACCACTCTTTTTTTTTTAGCACTTTATCTTGGTTTAAATTGAACTCGGGAGCGAGGACGCGTGCCTTGCAAAGTCCTTAATTCTTAAGCCAGTTATTTCCACATAAAGTGCAGTAGCAAACACAAGTTTCCTGCACCAGAATCACACAGAGCCTTTAGGTTCAATAGATTTAGATTCAGTACACGCTGAAGACAGGGGCCTTAGTGTAAAACTCAGATCTCAAACCGTTTTTGAACCTTGATGTTTTTTGTCYCAAAGTCTGGGTCAGCTTATGTGTCYGGTTCCCATTGCTCCAAGTTTTCTCACTTACTCAAAAATCAGCTATTAATGGCATAAGGTTGAATCTAATCAGGCTGCACTTTTTGTTGGTTTAATCAGGCTCCAATGGTGACTGCCTATTTTATTCTACTACATGCAACTGATTTGYTCACAGAAATAACTAGACTATGAGAACCCTTGATTAGATGAATATGCCACCTACGTGTTTTTAAGCTTGTGTATATTTTTTTTTTTTGGAGGTTGCTTCCAGAGGAGGTTGGGGTTGCTTTATTTTGAGATTGTACCAAAAACCTGGTGGAATATGCACAGCTGTCTCTCTGCACACACTTTTGGAGGAAGCACTGGTGGCTGCACATCAAYGGCCAAAGTCCATGCTGGGAAATGGATATACAGGCAGATGTGTCCTCTGGTCAGGAACCAGTCCCCAAAACCCTGAAGACAGATTGGAAAGATGAGGAAGGAGGATTGCTTGAAAGATAATCTGCAAASAGGCCAAGCAACAAGCAAGCAAAGCACGTCTCTAAACTCGCATGTGTTCCTATCTGTACTTCTGACTCTTCTTTTTCCTCATAGTCATCACTGCTGTTGGAATCATTCATCTCTTAAAACTCCTTTTCCAAAAGTCAAGGGGAAATAAACGTAATGAAAGGCAAATATTGAGGAGCACACGGGGACAGCTCTCAGTAACCAAGCAACGCAGGTACTCTGATCATTATTATTATGATTTCACCTTTTTCACAATCCACTGCCTATGGCTAACTTTCTACAATGGGCTTTACTAATGTCAGCTAAAGTCTCGCAGCACGTTTGTGACATAGCTAAGGCATATGGTTTTGAGGTGAAAACTGGAAAATTACCTGATGGCAAAAGACATGAAGACTCRAATGAAGTCAGACAAAGCATCTCACCTTCCTGATTCCAAGTCTTCTGGATCGAACACGAGCTGCTTCCCTCGGTGCAGTTAGATGTCTGCTCTCCTCACGTTTGCAAAGGAATGGTTAAAGTTTCACAGCTTCTCACAATCCCCCGGCACTATTAASCACAGATAACTGAGCAGTGCCTCCAAAACAGAAAATAAAAATACAGCAAACAGCAACACACCATAAATATAGCACTAAGAATCGCTTGTAGCAGACAGTCCCACCACAGTCTTAAACTTCTCCACGATTTGTAGCACAATTTTGATTGACTAGACTAATTTATAATGCAAATCACTTTACCTCCTGCCTCCAGAAGACACTTAAGGGGTTGTTTTTGCTATTTCTGTCCATGGCAAATTCTTGCTGCAGGCTCTGTACAGAGCCATTTCCTTGAGTTTATCTCATGGCACACCCAGAAGCAGAGGGTGTTGCRCTTATTCACTGCAAGACCAACCTCTTGGGAAAAAAAGTCTCCTTACTTCTCTGCTGTATTTAAAACTAGATCCTTGCACATCTCTAACTGATAGTCTGTCGACTCAGTATYTTTCTTGCCGTTCACACCCATCACTAAGTAATTGAAATTTGATTACTGGCGGTTTGCACCACGAGAACACACATTTAATGCTGTTGAATGGTATGCTCACATGAAGTCTGTCCATACCACTTTTTTCATTAGCTGGCTTAAAGTAATTAATTATTATTAAGCCTTGTGTGCTGAGTTTGGGCAACTGCTCTGCCCGAAACAGAGTTGTGGACAGTAAGAGACACARTCCTGGTCTCTGGGGTTTATTTCACCAGCTTTTGCATGTCCAGCTGACCAAGCCTGCACCATGAAAACCTGGGGGCGACACAGAAGTAGCCGCCCTGCTCTAGTTAGGGCCAATAAAGTAAATCTGATATTCTAGACTTTATCCCCAGGGTTACAAAAAAAGAGAGTGTTTTATTTTTATTGGCTGTTTAATAATTAGCAACAAAGAGCAACTGTATAATTGTCTCAGCGACAACAGCTGAGTTCCGGTGCACAGACAAGTAAACACAATGAAGGGACTGCAACAATACAGATACTTAAAAAAAAAAAAAAAAAAAAAAGAACTTCCTTCAAATCAGAGTTGCAGGACCAAGGATGAAAAAGCCATAAGAAGGCTAAAAATAAAGAAAATGGGTCCATCCATGTAGATGCACGGCTGAATAGGGTTAGACAGTCAATAATTCCTCAGCCTAGGCATGTCTATCTGCATCCTAAATCCCCAAGGCAAAAGAAAAAACTATCTATTAACCGAATATAATGTGAAATCCAGCTTTTATAGATACCTCTGTATCAATACCTTATTGATATAGGTCTGAAGATACAGTAAGCATACGTACAGATTTAGGAAGACTCTTAAACAGCTCCAGGCAACTCCAAGCCCTTCAGGATCCACACAGCCCCTCGGGGCACCCATCTCCTCCCTGGCCACAGGTTGTCTCACAGCTCCTGCAATGAGATTCTCTTAAAATATCACCCACAGCCGCCAGTCATGAGCACTTACATCACCAGATGGGTCCCCCTTTAATAGCTCTCACATACACATCTTCGCTTTGCATTTTCTGCTGAGCATTTTCTGCTTCTGTCAGTCACTTCCAAGGAGCAGACCTGCCCAGCCCTGAAAACAGGTCAGTATTTTCAGTTGCTTCCAGAAGGGTGGAAGATTATTACAGTAAATGACACTCAGCTGCTCCTCTCACAACTCTTTAAGCTCAAACCAGAAGCAGGAAACATAAATTTTGCAACAAACGGCTCAGTCCTTATACAGCCTGGCATTAAATAATACAGCAAATTCATGAATTCAGACAGAATTCATAAGCTTCCTCCAGTCAAATGTCCTAAACCTTCAAGCTGTATTTCTATGACTTGATGCTGTAGGATTCTGAAGACTCTCTAAGGGCTTTGCTACAGAAGAAAGTTGTTTTGTTGCCTGACTTTAATGCAGCTATAAACCCAGCACAGTTAGACTGGAGACAAGAGTATACAGGCACCTACTGCCGGACGAAGCAGCTTGTTATGATTTGGTTAAACATCTTCATAATCAAAACAGATAAAATAATAATACTGGTATTGATCTGCATTTTATTTTATTTTATTTTATTTTATTTTATTTTATTTTATTTTATTTTATTTTATTTTATTTTATTTTGACAACTTTCTGTCTGCAGCTGCTCTCCTTGCAGGGATGTAGCCACACAGCTCATGAACGTGCTGATGCCAACACATGTCTCTATAAAACAGCAATCGTTTTGCCTTTGCCTTATGCACATCCTCACTTTGAGTCCTGATAGGAAACAGCACTGCCTGGCTGCTGCAAGGGGAGGCAGGATGCCTGGGCAGAGCGAATAAAAAAGAACATCCATGGTAATTTTAAGCTGTTCTATGAATGGAGCAGATAAATAGCTACTTCTTCCCCCTCTTCAGTTTCAGTGAATTATAATTAATTAGCGTTTATCAGATTGAAAATCCTTCAGATTCATAGATAAAAGTCACTTTAAAAGCTTAAGGTACAGTAAAAGCCAGATAACTACGCTTTTATGAAATCAGATGGCGCACAAATGAATTTGCTTCAGTGAAAAAGTCTGAATCATGATTTTTCTACTCTATCTTCTGCTATAGAAAAAGAAATCTGGGATCTAGGCAGCGGTTAASGCAAAGAATGGTGAATGAGGAGATCTGAATTTGAATTCCTGCTTATTTTGGTGACTTGTTGAGTAATAGCTGCAAACAAACTTACTCTGTTCCTTGTGCTGCCTTTGAGCCTCTAAAATGTGAATAATACTACCCCATGATGCTGCCGTGCAGCATTTTACAAGTTTTTACACAGAGTAGGTCACAACTCTACATATCACCATGCACACGTAGGCCAAATCACTTCTTGTTAATTAGGYACCAGCTGAGCCAGTTTATTAATTGAGCAGTCCTGGTTTAGGCAATACACAAGGTAAGAAATAAGGTACCACCACAAGCTGAAAATGAGTCTCCCAAAGGTGCTGTGAGCTGATGCTGACACCTGCAGCGAAGCCATKTGCAGAGAGCAGAGGACTTTGAGGCTGGATCCATCAAGGTGAGACACCAGGAAGCCCTTCCTCCGAGGAAGAGAGAGACTGGGAACAAATGGAAATAATTATACTGGAGAATAAGGAACTCAAATCACTGCTACGATTTTAGCCATAAGCTAGCAAAGAGATGAAAAACTGTCATTAGGCTCAAAGTGCTAGAAGCAGCAGAAATGCGTGCAACTGAACGSTTAGCAATTGGGTAGGAGAAAGGAGAAAAAAATACTGCAGAATCTTCACTCTCAGCAAAAATTCAGGGAAAAACCCAACAGTCCCTGTGTAAAGAAATCGTTTACAGTGATTTTCTTTACTCCCAAGTTATAGTGTGCGTGTTCCCATTCCAGCTGAATA